AATTCCCTTCAACCGCATGAATATTTCTGTCGTTAACAGTCCAAGTTGGTCTGCCAGACTGTCCGGAATGATGTTCATTTCCGCACCAGTATCCACCAAAGTCCTAATTTTCCGTTTATTTATGGTCATATCCACCATTCCCACTGGACATGCGTAAGTAAGCCCCGAATCTTGTCCTTCATTATCAATACTTGCGTTGGTTGCACAGTTGAATTTGACACTGTTCAAACCTCTTTCAGCTAAGTCTTCTTCTGTTTGTACCGCATGCAAACTTTGTAAGAAATTTGGTGAGATCTTCAAGATTTCTTCTAAGGTGAGAGTGTATGACTGGCGATAGAATTTGGCTTTCAATGATTTATCCAATTTTCCAATTATCTCCTCTTGTTTATCTGCTGTCTCCGTCCTAGTCTGCTTTTCTTTTGCCGGCGGAACTGGTCGGGTCTTAGCCTTAGTAGGTATGATAATCCGTTCTTCTTCCTCGTCATCGTTGTCTTCAAGCCAAGACCCCGGAAAACTCTTTCTCCTTGCGGCCGTTTTCTGCGCATCATCCTGAATATTTGATGGTTGACCCTCTGTTCCTACAGGGTTGCTGGGAGCTGGTTGGCTACCGGAGGGTGCATTCTTCTCCTGTAGTCGCTGAGATTTCCGCAGTCCAAAACCTAGGTTGTTTTGTAGGTCACCTTCCTCCATGTTTACTTGTGGTGGAACCCAAGATCCCCATTCTTCAATTTCTGCCACCGCTGACGTTGATTCCTTTACGGCTTCCTTGGGTGGAGGATTTGAAGAAGTGCTTTGCTCTTCTGCAAACTTTCTGACTAATTCTCTAACAGATGAATCCTTGTCTAAGACAATTGCCTGGCGGTTTGGATAGTAGTAGGTTCCCTGAGACTTGTACACCTTCCGATCCTGCATATCTTGATTGAGGTATTCACACTGGGTGACCACATGTCTCTCCTTTCAGTAAAAACATTCCAAAGGGCCGTATCTTGGTCTGCTATCTGAGAGTCCTGGCAAAGATGGTCTGCTGACATGTGGTGGTGCTTGACGATTCTGATATTCCAAGGCGGAAGTTAGCTTTGTAAGCTTCTCTTCTAAGTCCTCCTTGGTTGCTGGTTCCTGAATCTTGACCGTCTTTTTGACCTGCTCCTTAGGTTTGTATTCCTCATCATCCCTGTCAAAATCCACAATTATCAGAGCAATTTCCACGTATTTCTTCAGCTTTTCCAGATCTGGGACAATTTTTCTCCCGTCTTTTGTTGTCTGAAGTTGTTTGGCGTGGGCTAATTCCTTAGTCACTTCCTTCTTTAATTCGGTGGAGAGTGCTTTCCACAATGGGTTTCCGCTGTCCGGATTCAGATTTTGGTACTCCATCCTTGTAAAGTAGTCCATAATTTCCTCGAATTCACTGATAAATTTCTTGTATTCTAGTCTAGTGTTGATGCCACCATTTTCCTGGGCCTTGCATATGAGTCTTGGTATAGAGTCTTCCTTGTAGCGTCTCAGGGGTGTTGCTCTTCCCCATTTCCTGATCAACTCTTTCTTTAAAAGCTCCCAATTTCCGGTTTCATGTCCTTCCATCTGCTCTATAGCTTCACTGATTTTTCTATTACTGATGATGAAGGGTAATTGGAAAGCCACGTCTCTTCCGCCTGCCTTCTGTAACACCGCAACTTTCTCCACTCTCTTAATGAAAAGTTCCACCTCCGTTCCTTTGAAGTAGAGGTTAGTCTTTTTTGTATCCAAAACTACTCCTCTCTGTTCATCCGGAAGTTTGATTTCTGTTCTGATCCTGGTTTGTTCAAACCCTGGTGATTGAATAGCTGAAGTAGGGATACTTTGCTCTCCCGCGCCAATGGTTGTCTCCAATCCTGGTATCCTGCCGGTGTAAGGGGTTGACGTCCCAAATCTTAAGGTGTGTACCCTTGGAGATGGGGTTTCTGGTAAGGGTGGACCTCGGGGAGATGCTGATTGACTGAAGAAAGATTTCATCATTTCCTTCATTTCCGCCATAGATGATTCCATCCTTGATATCTTCTCTTGTTGTTCCTGGATTATTGCCGATTGGTCCATGCTGGAGTCTTCCGGATTTGCCATATTTCCCTGTTGCCGTTTTTCCCGTTCGATTTCCTCCACGACTTCCTCGAGTGAATGGATCTCCTGCCGTGTTAAACTACCGTTGTGCCAAGTCCTCCTAATCCTGTTATCTGTAATTGTTTCCTCGCCTAAGTCCGTTGTAAGACTCAAAAAGTGGTTGTAAGACCCTTTTTGCTGAATGGAGAAGGGGGTGATGGAGTGTAAGCTCTGCCCTTCTATACTATCAGATAACAAGACCCACCAAGCTCAGCTTGGCAAGTTTTAATCAAGTGATAGGGTAAAGTTCAGGAATGAGTTTGTGTGATGAAGAGTTGTTGATTTGGTTTGGTTGGCGCTTAAAGTGTTTGTGTAAGGGTGGTCAAATATTGCTTGAGTGTTACTTGACTGAGGATTAAACAACTGGGAGGAGAGCCTCCTTATATATACAACAGTGAGGGAATTTAGCTACATACAAAATTTGAATGAGTGAATGTGATTGGTCAGACATGTACAGTGGGTGGACCATTATTTTTGGCTGCCTGTTTTGGACCCCAGAGCTCTGAAAAACATACTTGAAGTTATGAGACTTGCTCAGGTGGTGCATAATAGGTCCCAGAAAATGAATATGAAAAAATAAAAACAAAAAGTAAAGTTTCAAAATTTGTGAAAAATAAGAAATAAAACTGATTTTTTTCAAAAGCTTTGATATTCATTTTGGGGGAGTGGGAGTGCTGAGAGAAAGAAAGAGGGGAACATGGGAAGAATGATTATAAATGAAAAAAATTGGAACCAAAAAAGGTTTGGCCAGGTTGGTTGTCCAGATTGGAGCCAAAACAGTAAATACTGGTGCTTTACTGCAATGTAGGCTGGTGAATGCCCCAATCAACAGCTCTTTGAAGCCATCTGGAAACCAATTTTTCCAAAATTTTCATTCATAATCATTCTTCTAATATCCCAATCTTGCTTTCTCTCAGCACTCTCACTCCCCCAAAATGAATTTCAAAGCTTTTGAGAAAAACAAATTTTATTTTTTATTTTTCACAGATTTTGAAACTTTGTTTTTTGTTTTTATTATTTCATATTCATTTTTTGGGACGTATTCTGCACCAATTGACCAAGTCCCATGACTTGAATCTGGTGCCTTGAATCTCTGGGATCCAAAACAAGCAGCCAAAAATAACGGTCCACCCACTGTACAAGAGTTGAAGTGGTGATCCAAGCAGCTGAATGAGTGATTCTGATTGGTCAGGTTCTGATGTGTTTACAAGTGAGCGTGGGGGTGTAAGCTGCAGCTGTCATGCATGGAAAATACACTAATTTAGGCTGCAGGTATGATGTGATATGTAGAAGTGAAATGTAAAGAGTGTAGATGTATGTAAATGAGTGTATATGTAAATGAGTGTGTACTGTACTGAGGGTGTCTGTGTAGCTCGAGGGTTGTAATTGGATTTGTTGACATGTAATGATGGGTGAAATCCTTGTGATATGTAGTCCATTGTTGGGTAAGAGTTGATCCAGGTGAGTTCCAGTGACGCCTCCGTGGTGACCAAGGGTGAATTTATCCAGAGAGTCCAGTTCTTGAGCCGTATGGTGTGATTTCTGAGAGAGATTGGGTGATAATATGAAGAATATATATATATAAGAAAAGAAAAGAAAAAAGTTTGAATTTTCTCATTTTTGACTACCACAGCCTCCCCCAACTTATTGTCTGTCCCCAGACAATTTATCAGGAAAAAATGGGAAAGAAAATAGAGAAAGGAGTTTATTTTTAAACATGAAAGGAAGTGAAAAGGGTAGTGGGTATTTGGAGAAAAAAGCTGGAAAAAAAATGAGTGTGGCTGGAAAAAGAGTGTGATAGCCTCCCCCAACTTTGCAGTGGAGCCAAGCTGGGGTAGCCGTATTTGTGATTTTTGAACTTAAACTTAATTTTTACAGCTGATTTAACAGGGTTTCCCCTGTCAACGTTAGCCTCAGGGTCCCTGTGCACCCCCCCTTCTGCCCAAAGTGCACAGGGGGGGAGCATTTTTTTATTTTCTACATTTTGATTTTGATTTTGCTGCGCGCTGTGCGCAGCTGCGCAGCATTGGACGTCTGGCTGACCGCTCCATTGACGTAGAGTGGCTGGGTATTCTGGTTTAGCTGTGAAGCCCCTTGGGAGGGGCCCAAGAGGGTTTCAGATCGTTCGGGGGTTGAGTTTTAGTGCGGAGGTCGCGCGAGGTTGAGAAATAGCTGCGCCGCAGTCGAGAGCGCCAAGTCGCGGGTGCCTCGTTCCGTGTGCGCCGTTCCGGTCCGGAATTGGGGTACCCTGGGCCCTGGGGAGCAGGTAGGTCCTGTAAACCAGCCGGTCTACATTTCCTCAGTCCCCACCGCCACCGTCCTTCGCCGTTCTTCTTGCCTTCAATTGGATTTTCCACGCCTTCCGTTCGTGCTCGGTCTCGGTAAGTGATTCTCTCTTCTCTCTGTGTTCCTTTTACATTACACTAATCAAAAAAACCTTCTGTCCTGGCCAACCCCAAAAAAAGTGCGTGGGTCGATGACAGGTCTTCCAATCGTACGAGCTCTGGCTGGACTTGGTCCACCAGCCAGAGTTGGATCCTACGTTTTGATTGGTCGTGTCGTGGATAGAGGTAAGAGCACACCACTCATCCTCAGATCCTGCAATTTGATTGGCCAGAATCGGGGCTGGCTTCCTTTGAGAGAGGTACGCGTCGGGTTTTCGCGCGCGTTTCTGCTTGCCTGTGGGTCCGTTGGCCCTTCCTTGTCTGGAAGTCCAGGTAGTGTAGGTATCAGCGCTGGTGAGTTTTCCCGGTCAGAGTGACTGTCTCTGTCTAGCTTATAAAAGACCGGCTCGATCATCGGTTATTTTTATACCTCATCCCTCAGCCACCTCTCCAGACTACCCTTCCCTACTAGCACTAGTCTTAACCATGCCTCGTTACAACAAGTATGCCCCTGGCCCTCGGGCCTCAAATCCGTACCCTCTTCGTTCCCAAATTAGTCTTCCCCAGCCGTCCAACCCCTTAGAGAGGGTCAGTCAATGCCGTTCTTGTTCTTATTCGGTCAACCTGGTTACGAGTGCTGAGCTATCTTGTATCTGTATTCATAGGACCGTACACTGGGGTCCCCCATCCGGATAGATTCTCCAGAGTCATCACGGCCACCGATCCTAAATGCGTCGCCAATTGCGCCGCCCTCATCGATCCGGGTAAGCTCTCTAATTTAAGGCCTATAGCTATTCTGGTCCGACTCTAACTGACGCCCCTGGTCCTTGATTTCTCTTCCAGAGCCTGTCGGCTGGGAACCCTATTGAGATTGATTCTCAAGGCTCTCCTCATCCGCTGGCTCAAAATCGATCCCCAGCGGTGCCCTCGTTAGGTGATCCAAGAACCATCCCCCGGCCGGTTTCCCCCAAAGCCACCCAAGCCTCTAGAGCTGATCGGGTACCCCCAGGGTTGGTGGGGCTCCACTCTCAAGATCAAGGTGGAGCTTCACCTCCTTATCAACACTGTCCTACCCCCGAGTTGAATCCGAATCCGCCGTTCCAAACTCAAGCTACACCTGAGTGGCGTCGCCCTCCTTCGAGCAGCCAAGGTTCCTCGAATTCGCCAGTGGCCCGTCGTCCTTTTGAGGTGGCCAGCTCTTCATTGAATCACCTCTCGTCGGTCAGTGATTGTTTCATCTTCTATTCACAGTCTATACACGTTGTTGATACAATTGCTAATGAGTATTGTAATCTTGTTTTTGGGGTTTCTAGCTTCTGAGTTCCAACCGCGCTGTCATTGATGAGCCCTGGACGCTACCGCCGGCTCCACGTCCTCAAAACTTGAGCACGCCCAGTGATATTCGCTCCGCTGTCGACGTTGACCAATCCACTTCAACTTCAATTTCACAAGACGAATCTGAAGCCTCAGACGAGAACCCTTCTGAGTCCTCCTCTAATCAGTACACTTCTTCCAGCAATCAGTCTTATCCTTTCGCGCGCCAGCCTCAAGTCGCCTCGCCTGATCCTCCGGGATTCTATGACGCCGATGAGTTTCATCTCCTGAGGGATCACCAGATCGATTCCCTCCTCAGTCGTCGAGCTGATCCGGCCAGATTCGACCGGTATGCCTTCTGTCCTCGTGAATTTACGGCTTTTTATCAGGCGGCCGCTAGTAGCTTCGTGGATTATTGTAACGCAGAGCGCCCTTCCTGTCCTCGCGATCAGGCTCATCGAGTGAGCCATTTTAAGTTCCTTAATCGGAGTTACATGTCGCTTAGGCAACACTTCCGTCACTTGGGTGAGTGGTTTTTGATTTTTATTTCTTTTCACAGCCTATATACTAATTGTTTTGATCTTTTTTATTGTTTTTGTTTTTGATCCTAGATTAAGTTCTTCCTGGTTTGAGTACTGTCTGTAAAGGGGTAAAATTTTCCTAAAGCCAAAAAAATCGTTAGATAATTTTTATAACCCCAAAAAAATTTTTATAATCTACAAAATCCAAAAAACTATTCTCTTGTTAGTTCATTTTAGTTTACTTGCTTCTTGATTCTTTTTTCTTTTTCAATACTATCCCAAACCCCTCCCCCAACTTTACAGGTTGTCCTCAACCTGAGATGAGTGGCCAAGCCTATAAATGAGTGAGAGATTAAGGTGAGCTGAAAAAAAAATGGAAGAAGACAGAAAAAGTTTGTCCAAAAAAGAATTTTTCAGGAAAGAAAAGTTGGAAGAATTGTGAGTATTCAAAAGATAGTCTTAAGAAGGAGAGAATGTAAAAGGGAAGGGTAAGAATAAGGGTTTTGAAGGCTGATATGAGTAGTAGAATTCTTAAGTTAAGGTTTTTTTTCGTTTATTGGTCATGAAGAGAAAGCAAGAGATGGGGTGGAATTGAAGTTATGGGATAAATAAATAAGAGGTTCATGGAAGGAGGGTGCTAGTAAAGAGTGACGTATAAAAGAATGTGAGTCCTCCCCCAACTTAGAAAATTAATCATCCGCCTGATTTTTGAAAGAATTTTGAGCTAAATTGTTGTAATTTGATGTGTGTTGTGAACAGTTTAGTCTCATGACCAGGAGGTACGATTATTCTGATGCCACTGAGGAGTGTTTTTCTGAGTCGTCTTCCGAAGCATCTTCCTGGTCCGGGTCCTCATCTTCTTGAATATCATGAAAGTCTCATCCTCGCGGGTAAAACCGTTTGATGTGTGAGGCAGCATAAGCCCTTTTCAATTCCACTCCGTCCAGTTCTTCTAGAATATAAGAGCCTTTGGGAAGTTGTTTCTTGATGCAAAAAGGTCCATTCCAACGGTGAGCAAAAAGTTTCCCCCACTGGTCTTCCAGACTTTTATTGTAAGCCAGAACCAGTTCTCCGGGGTCCAGAGGATTCCTGAGTCTTGCTGCCATTCGCCGGTCCCAGTATCTGACTGACGATTCTCGAGTTTTCATTAGTTTTTCATGGGCCAGTGTTAAGATCTTGTCCCTTTGTTCCAGTTGTTTTGTTCGAGCCTCAAGCAGTTCTTCAGTTGTGTTCACTTCTGTCCAGTCTATTCCAAGATAGGTGTCCATCTCAATATCCACGGGTAAAACCGCTTTCCTCCCAAAGACAATCTCATACGGTGAGTATCCAGTTGATCTTTTTGTCGAAATTCTGTCAGAAAAAAGTACTAATGGTAAATATTCTCTCCATTTTCCGCCGGATTCGCCACACATCTTGATCAGTGTGTCTTTGATTGGCCGGTGACCTTGTTCAATCATTCCATTCGCCTCGGGATAGTATGGTGTCGGTGGTCGCAGAGTGGCACCAATCTTTTCCACAGCTTCGATAAATTCACTCTTAAATTCTGGTCCATTGTCAGCAGTTACAGTCCTAATTGAACCATATCTGTAGACCCACTCTTCCAAAAGAAATTTACTGATATTAGCTGCAGATAATTTTACCAAGGGTGCTGCCTCTACCCATCCCAATAAGTCGTCACGTGCCACCAGCAGGTATTTATATCGTCCGGCCTTGATATGACAAACGTCCAACGCTACCCGTCCAAATAGACTACTTTCGCCAGTTGGATTTTGAATTTCTCTGGGCACTAGAGCATCCCTCTTCTGACAAGGTTCACAACTCTGCACCCATAACTTGACCTTCTTTTTCAGGCTGGGCCACCAAAACCGACAAACCAAGCGCTGATACGTTTCCTCAAGTCCTCTGTGGCCAAGATCCTTGTGGAATTTTCTTAATAGTTGGCTTTGGTACGGTATGTTGGAGATGACTAGCTGTGCCATGGGCATGTGTCGTCGCATGAGTCGTCCCTCTTGGATAAAGAAATTGGCTGATTTTCTTCTTAGCTTTTGAAAATCCCCGGGGTCCATTCCTTCTGGCTTCTTCAGGGTCCCAAGGTATTCCTTAAGATCCTTCCAAAACCCTGGTGATTCCCATTCCATTAGCTTTGTCGATTGAGAGGTTATTGTATACTGAAAGCATGCTTTGATTACAGGTTCATCTTCGTCAAAGTCGGCTGCGTCCTCATAGAATTCCTCCTCACCGTTGCTGATGGGTCGCCTGGACAGCGCATCTGGTAACGTGAAGGTTTTGCCTGGCTTATGTACCATGTCAAATGAGAAAAGCTGAATGAACGCCACCCATCGGGTCATTGGTGCATTAGGTAATGACGGAGAATTGATCATCTGAATTAAGGATTGCGCATCTACTTGAAGCTCGAAGTGTTGGCCCCATAAAAGTGTTTGAAGCTTTTTCAGGATCCTGGAAACCCCACAGAGTTCGAGTTTTGGCTGGGAATAAGACGATTCCACGGGTGAGAAAACTATAGATTCGTAGAGAACTGGTCGTGCTAATCCTGTTTCCAGTTCTTCCTGTGATAGTACTGCCCCGGCCGCAATAAAACTAGAATCCACGGCCAAAATAATTAATCCTGCGTCCTTGGAGTAATCTAGCTTTTTCAGGGTGATATCTTCCCCAACTATTTGCTTTAGCTTGTGAAAGGCCTCGTCGCATTCTTGGTTCCATTCCCATTCGGAGTCCTTCCTTGTGAGTCTCCTGAGAGGTGCGGCAATTTCAGAGAGGTCTTTGATGAAAATTCTGACGTAAACTAGTATTCCCATGAATCCTCGTAATTCTGTAAGTGAATTCGGGGTTGGCCAGGTCGTAATCTTATTCCTTTTCTGAGCTGAAACCTGTAGTCCTTCTTTACAGACCACATGACCTACAATGTCCAGAGCTGGGACACAGCAAGCAAACTTTTTTCCGGAGATAGTGAGTCCAGCTTCTTCAATCCTGAATAATACCCGTTCTAATGTCTGAGCATATTCCCAGATGAACTGCCGAATTCCTGGGTTTTCGTCCAAGCTTTTGTTATCGTAATCCGAACTAGGTCCTTTGATTCCTCCATCGTCAATGAATACGCCTACGTTATCGGGTATTTCATCCTGGAGTATCCACATCATTTGCGCCTGATATACTGCTACCAAATTAGTGGCCCCCTGAGGTAAACGTGTGAGTTGAAATCTTCCAAGAGGGGTATCAAAAGTTGTCAGTGGTTGAGATTCTTGCGCTAACTCTCGTTTGTCATATCCTCCCATGATATCTCCCAATCCGTAGCAAGCGCGTCCTGCAAAAGCCTCTACAAATTCCTCAGTCGCTGGGGGAAGGCCTGCGTCCTTAATGGTAACTTTATTCATTTCTTGTAAGTCATGAACAATTCGTAGCTTTCCATCGTGTTTTGCTACGCAGAATACTGGACTTGAGTAACTTGATGTTGATTGTTCGTAAAGACCCGTCCTAATTCGTTCCCGAACTAGTTCCACATACTTGTTTTTTATTGCTGCTGGAATAGGAATAGGTTTCTTCTGCCAAGGTAGGTGATCCACTACTGGTATGACATAGGGTAGTCCATAAGAGTGTTTTAATAGTCCACGCTCTTCCATGCAAAATGCTAAGGCCTTTTCCCGTAAAACAATCAGATGTTTGAATAGCTTTAGTTCCTCGTTTGAGAGCCATCCTTCTGGTCCAAAGTTGACTACCTTCAGGCGTTCTTCGGTTATTTTTGCTGTTGGTTGGAAGTCTGGCGGGTTAGGTGTGAGTGGGGTTATATACGGATCTCTAGAGAGTGGTGGTCTTTTCAGAGGCGGATTGAGAGCTTGAGGAATGGGTTGATTTATAGGTCGGATCTTCTTAGCCACAGGTTTGTATTTAGTCATACACCACAGGCTTCCCTCCTTCCAGCTCTGGCACAATTTCTGTTGAAAACTTATGCCTAATCCATTTGTGAGTAATGTCCTCACTTCCTCTTTCCTTGGTTCCTCAGCAATTTTGAGTGCATTCGAGGTGATTGTTACTTCATTTTTTGCCCCAATTGACTGTCTGGTGTTCCATCGTTTTCGAACTGTTTTACAAATTTTTGAAAGAAAAAACAACATAAATCGGATATTTTTGAATAGGGAAATTAACTTACAGAGACATTTTTTTGTTAGTTTTGGTAATTGTCGTATAAAATTTACAAGAAGCCAGTCCTGATAAGCCGGTGTTCGAGACGTAACTTGCTCGACTAGCGTTAACGAGTTATTCCCTAGGTGAACACCGGAACTCAGAAAAAAGGCTGAGCGGTTTTCTTCTTGAACATGCGTTGTTCTTCCGTTCCCGGATCGGATGTGGATCTGAAACTGTGGCTACTGAGGTCTTTGCGATTATTCCATCCTTTCCCCTGCCCGACTTTAGCTAAAGGCACAGAAACCCTCCTCCCTTTGGTTCCTTGGAAAGAAAGTGTTTCACCAGTCTCGTGATATTCTAGTGTGCATCCGTAGTCAAACAGGAATGGCCGTCCAAGGATGCAATCTTGCGCTTTGGGTGAAACAAACAGATGAGCCGGACCCGAGAATCGTCCAATCCCAACAGGGCAGTTTTCGGCTACACCATTCAGGTCACATCTTGCTCCGCCTACGCCTTTCATGGGTATGTCTACCTGGACTATTTCTAAATCCAAATCTTCGGCCACAGAGTAAGGAATGACATTCACCATGGATCCAGAATCTATCATGCAATTGATTTTGGCTCCCCCTATTTCGGCAGTCACATATCCCAGGGCGCAGCTATAGTAGCACGGATCGGTAGGTTCATTCTTGTCCGCCTGAGTGGTCATAGCTGCCGCCACCTTATGTTCTTCTGAGGTCATATAGGTGGCACTGCTTTTTCCCGGCAGTCGTTGTTGAAGTCTGGCAATGATCTGCTCCGTGTATAGAGGTGACAGTGTTGTAAGTTGCGCAAATGTCGTAGGGATTTTTAAATGATCTAAATCTTGTAGCAGGGCTACCTCTGGCGAAACTGAGTTTGACTTGGATTTTGCCTTTTCCTTTCCCCAGAATTTTTTGGTTGGCGTTATTGTGGCTTCTTGGTCTAGATTGGCAATGTCTTCTTCCTGATCAATGTTCATAGAGTCGTCTTCGGGTTCCTGGATTCGAACGGTCCTCCTTCCTTTTTGAGCGTCTGATCGTGTGACTGCATGGTTCTTTGGGAAATTGTCTGCCCCAAGTTCCGGAGGGTCCCAGTCTATTATTTGCATTGAGGTCTTCATGGCTGAATCCATTCCCGTGGGTACCTGCCCTGCTTTTCTCTGTTCCACAAGTCGCTTGGAAGCTTCCTGTATCGCTGGGTCTGCCGAGGCTGTGGCCACTACGGATCGTATCGGTCTAGATGGAACCCATGGTATATGTTGTCCGTTAGGTAGATACCAGTCTTTCCCACTTCGCTGTACTAGTCCCTCGCTTTCGTCTTTCTGTAGTTCCGGGCATCGGTGTGTGACGTGGCCTTCTCTTCTACAGTAAAAACATATCTGACTTTCATACAAAGGTGTTGAGGGCCTGGCATTTCCCCTCGAGAATTCGGTTCGTTCCAGATTACTAGGCTGGTTGTAGGCTACCGGCAAAACACTCTTTAGTTGTTGTTTTAACGAAGCAATTTCCTTTGCCATGTCTGCTATGTTCTTGTCGACCACGGTTTTGTCATTCGGAGTTTCGGCTATCATTTGGTTCCGTCGTTGACTGTCACCTTTCTGGGCATCCAATCTCTTCTGCATTAACTGATTTGCTTCTGAAAAATTGGTGTTGGTGACGTCCAGGTATCCAGGTTCCACAATTCTGACTTCCATTTCCGCAACTTTGACTAAGTGAGCCCATTTAGGAGGTAGATTACTTCCATCCGGTCCTTTGGGAAGTAAGTCGTAGCTGACTAGATGCCGTTTTATGTTTTGCTGAATTTCTTTTGAAAATGCTTTCATGAACAGAATTGAGGTGTCTTCCTCCTTGTGAATGTGCCCATTGGTGATCAGGTACTTCATAATAGAGGTGTATTTGGTTACATAGGCCGTTAGCTCGCGACTGGTCTTGATGCCTCCTTTTGCGGCTACTTCTTCGGTAACTTTGACTAGATCGTTGGTCGTATATAAAATCGTGTTATCCAAACCGCCCCAGGTGTCGATCATTTCTTTTCGTAACTTGGGCCAATCGTATGCTATATATCCGTCCATGGCTTCTATTTGATCTCTGAGTTCTTCTGTTTTCATGAAGCGGCCTATTTGAAGGGCCTTCTCGTAGTCTGATGCTTGGAATGCCTGTGCCGCTCTTTCAAATCGTCGTAGAAACTTTGAAAAATTTTCCCCGTCATAGAAGAGGCCAGGTTCTTTAATGATTTTAGGTGAAGCATGGTAAGCTGGTTGTGGATATATGGGCTGTTGAGGTATGTTTTGTTGTGGTACATTTTGTTGCGGTATTTGTTGATTGTTTCGTGAAAAGACGTCTTCCCCCTTGTTTTGGGTACTGTGCATTCCATAGCCTGACAGAGGGGTTACTTGTGGATTGCCGTATTTTTGAGGAGTGATGTTTTCATCGTCAGATAACTCATCATCCGGGTCTCGTAGTTGTGTTGCAGAGGCCTTTCCTTTTCCTTTCGGTGGTGGTCCAATAGGTTCTTGATTCCAGCTAAAACTTGATGGTCCTGCAAAAGGAGGTCGGTTCTTTAAGGGGGTCGAGGCTGCAAACCCATCCTCCAAATCTGGGGTACTGAAAGGTAAATTCATGTCGATTGTTGTTGAGGGATCCAGCTTGACTCGATGAACTAATTCTCGGTTAACTAACTATCTTTTGCTCTGAAAAAGAAACAAATAATACTATGGTCTCTGGTCTCTTTACCAGGGCAAATTGTTTTTCTTTAATAAAAAAAATCACTTAACAATACGGGGAAATTCTCTTCAAACTGTATCTCAATTATCCGGATCCTTCGGGTCCTAAACCTTCTTCCAGTATATAATTGGCCGTCTTCTTTGAGTAAATTTCAGAGTTCTCTTCTAACAGGATCCTAGCTATCCAGATTCTTCGGTCTCTAATGCCTTCTTCTGGTTTTATAACTGGCCGCTTCCTTCGAGATACCCTTTTTCAGGTCCGCTAGCGCAACTTTCTTTTTCGGAGTTTAAGTAGTTGTCTCGTTAAATTGTGTTTATGAAGCTGACTAGTCGGTCAACAGAATAACTGAATATGCCGTTGAGTGTCGCAAATATGGTTGATAAATTTGATCCGGTTCCTGCTAAAGTTCGTGATCCTTTGGCGATTCCTTCTCGTTATATGTTGAAATTCGATTACTTAATGTAGATCACACAAGTTTATCCTATCACGTTGGGGACTCCCTTGTAAGACTCAAAAAGTGGTTGTAAGACCCTTTTTGCTGAATGGAGAAGGGGATGATGGAGTGTAAGCTCTGCCCTTCTATACTATCAGATAACAAGACCCACCAAGCTCAGCTTGGCAAGTTTTAATCAAGTGATAGGGTAAAGTTCAGGAATGAGTTTGTGTGATGAAGAGTTGTTGATTTGGTTTGGTTGGCGCTTTAAAGTGTTTGTGTAAGGGTGGTCAAATATTGCTTGAGTGTTACTTGACTGGGGATTAAACAACTGGGAGGAGAGCCTCCTTATATATACAACAGTGAGGGAATTTAGCTCCAGGGCAGCAAGTAATGAGTGAATGTGATTGGTCAGACATGTACAAGAGTTGAAGTGGTGATCCAAGCAGCTGAATGAGTGATTCTGATTGGTCAGGTTCTGATGTGTTTACAAGTGAGCGTGGGGGTGTAAGCTGCAGCTGTCATGCATGGAAAATACACTAATTTAGGCTGCAGGTATGATGTAATATGTAGAAGTGAAATGTAAAGAGTGTAGATGTATGTAAATGAGTGTATATGTAAATGAGTGTGTACTGTACTGAGGGTGTCTGTGTAGCTCGAGGGTTGTAATTGGATTTGTTGACATGTAATGATGGGTGAAATCCTTGTGATATGTAGTCCATTGTTGGGTAAGAGTTGATCCAGGTGAGTTCCAGTGACGCCTCCGTGGTGACCAAGGGTGAATTTATCCAGAGAGTCCAGTTCTTGAGCCGTATGGTGTGATTTGTGAGAGAGATTGGGTGATAATATGAAGAATATATATATATAAGAAAAGAAAAGAAAAAAGTTTGAATTTTCTCATTTTTGACTACCACACCGTTTGGTCGTTGGTCTCCTCGCCTGTCCGCGCCAAAGTCGAATCCTTGTGCTCGTGATCCAGGGTTGAGTGTAAGTCTTGGTGATATTGATGATACGTCGTTGATCTCTGAAAGTTGTCGGCCACTGTTGGGACACCAGATGTGAGAACTGCTTTGGGATGGGTTGGCAGTCCTTGAGGGGGAAATAACAATAATGATATTTCACTAGATAATATTTACTGTTACGGGTGGTTTGAAAGACCTGCCCCTCTATTTACAATTCTGACAACAATTTAATTTATTGTTGTGGCGTAACTTTTATGATGGAGAAAACTTATATGTAGTAGTCTCTATCAGATCTAGATCAGTATGTAATTCAATACAAGATGGTTGTACAACCTTTACACGGTGAGTATGGGTGTGAAAACAATCCAGGTAGAATATTTTATAGGGTTTTATGGTTTTACGGTGATTCTGGATAAGTAGTGAAACTGTTGGTTGTTGTTGTTGATGTTGATGTTGGTGTTGGTGTTGGTGTTGGTGTTGTTGTTGGTGTTGTTGTTGGTGTTGGTGTTACTATACTTTTAATGTTGAAGGTGTTTGTGTTGATGGCCACTGAGCTGGCTGTGTGGAATGAACCGGCTGGGTGATGATGGTGTTGACCACTGAGCTAGCTGGGTACTGTGCTGGCTGGGTGATGATGGGGGGAATTGGTGAAGGAGAGGCCTCCTTATATATTCTTTTCTGAGTTATTTTTGCTGGTGGTGATGCAGTTGAGGTTATTTTGCTGGTGGTGACCTTGTGGGTTGCACTGCCTCCTGCAAGGAGTACATGCATTGAGCTAATTATGCTGTGGAAATAAATAAATATGGTACTACTGTATGTACGGATTGCATAACTGGTTGCACTGCCTGGTGGAGGTTTTTCTGTCCACATGCATTTATGCAAAGCCTGCGTAAATTCAATTAAGTAACTAAGTGGAGGCCTAATGGTTGCACATATGCATGCAAGAATTGCATAAATGGTCTGCACTACTGGTGGGGCCTGCTGATGTAATAATTTATGTGTATGTACTTATATATATGTGGTAAAATACTATTAAATACTAATTAATGACTAGCTATGGTATGGCTTTAACCTTTATATTGGATTATCTTCTAAACTAATAGAGATAGAGGTATGGTTGTAGTGAGTGACTATGGGTAAAATTGTATGCAGATTCTGATTATGCAATAATATATTCATATATGTAAGTGGTTTAGGTTGTAAGGTAGGGGTTTTGGTAGTTTTGTTGCGCACAACAGCCTGGACCACCACACCGTCGGAGGGGTCATTCTGAGTGGATTTTGGAGTTTGTGAGGCAATGCTGCTTCTAGTATCTGGGATAAGGGTTCTGGGGATGCTAGAAGGGGTATGTCCCACATATAAGCAGGGTATAGCTCACCAAAGGCCTGCTGTCATCAACTTAGGGCTTTTTTATGCCTTTTGCCCCTGGTGGAGTTGGTTGTTGTGTTAACCAGGGGTAAAACGGAAACCTATAACTATATCTGTATGAAGCAACCAAAAAATGGGTGCCTCAATAATATACTAGTTGCTTGGGGCTTGGTCCTTTACTAGTACCGGTATTAGTAACGGGTGGTCAAGCATACATTTACTATAACAAAACGGGCTGCTTATCGTAGAGTACAGTACAGACCCATTGTTGCATGACATCATGGTGCATTGTTATAGCCAATTAAATCATGTGTCTACTTATAATAGAATAAGACTGATGCAAATTACCACACACTTAACAAAGGTGGTAATTTCTACACTTTGAATTATAGTTTAAATTTATAGTTGGAACTATATATTTTGATATTTCATTTTATCTTTATTTTATATTCTTTTTTTAGATTATTTTATATTTTTATTCCTACTAACCTCAAGGGTCTTGAGTTATGACAAATTCATAGAAGGAGTAGGAATTTGGGGGTGGTTCCACTGAGCAACCCCCTCTAAAATATTATGAAAATTCCATTTATAAAATAATATCCTAGGTTTTCTTATTATTATTACAAGTAATATAATGTTAAGCAGTCTTTTGGATACTCTTGAGGATCTCTAAGGCTGACATAATTGGTGGTGTAACTGGTGAGTTATATACTGATGAACTCCTGAGTGAATGAACAAATGAGTAGTGAACTGAGGAGACAACAAATGGGGGGAAGAGAGCCTCCTTTTATAGACAAATTTGAGGGAATTTTAGCTCCAGGGAAGACAAGAAAGAGTGATTTTAGCTGGCCTGTAGATACAAATGAGTGAATTTAGCTAGTCTGATCATAGTGAGGCTGTGTACAATTGATGTCAAAGGCTGTGCTGCAGTGCGTAAATAATGTGAGAGATTGTCAAATGATGCAATAAATTGTGGGAAAAATAAATCTGTTTCCATAAATAGTGTGAGAAAATTATCAAACCATGGGAAAAGTAATTTAATCATGATTGCACAGCCTGCAAAGGCAGTGCATGAAGTGACAAATAAAACCAAACTAATTTATGAAGTGGAGATAAGGAGGTGTGGGAAATTATGTTTATACTGTGAGCTGTGTATAAGCATAACTGAGAGGCAAATTGAGGGTTGTCACATGTGCTTGACTGGGTATTGCCTTTGTGATATGCGTCCGTAGGGGTGTAACTTCCAATGTGTGAGGGTTCCAAAGATGTGTCCAGTGATGACCTAGGCTGAAATTTTCTGCAGAGTCCATTTATGACGCCGCATTGGTTGATTTCTGACTGAAGATATGAGAAAAATGTATATAAAGGAAAAAATTTGAGAAATTTTTACATATTGAATTACCACACTGTCTATCTTTTAAAAATAAAAATAACCTAATCCCAGGCCCACTGCCTGTTCCCAACCACCTTTGGCTGCAAAATTCTTCTAGAGATGGTCGATTGGCATCCGGATATC